CCTGACCACCAAGCCTGGGCTCCCTGGGTTGGCGAGGGTGCTGGTCAGGCTAACTCAGTACCTGTATTAGCCATTTCCAGGAGCACAGGATTTCCCAGGGAAAGCAAATCAATGTTTCACTGGTGGCACTTCCTTTCCTAAAAGGTCCCTTCATGTCCTTCTACATTTATGCTCTTGCCTTTTACCTTTCTCTCCCCTTTCTCATATGTTTTCAAGTATTATTTATAAAAAGAAAAAGATTGCTGAATTCAGTCTTTTTGGGGATACTCTTTACTATTTTATTTTTGTGTACTCGCTTCCTTTTGTAGAAAAAGGATGTTTCTGAAGCAGTAGGCCACTTTCTTTTTTCCTTTTAACTTCCACCTCCTCTTTGACACTCATGAACAAACACTGACAAAATCAAAATAGGAGCTTGCAGGACCTCTGGCAGCCACCCATATCTCATGTTACATGGACAAGCAAACTCCTGTCAATCATGGAGCCTTACATTTTCAAAAGCAGGAAATCCACAGTGAGGTTCATTTTTTGTTAAGATCTCACCCAAAACCTTGCCTCAAGCATTACAGCCCATCCCCTTCTGCCTTCCTCTGCAACAAAGCCATTTGGTGCTAAGGGAGATATTCAGCCCAAAGGCTGAACCTGGTAGGTCTCTGAGGTGTATTTATTTGCCTCTGCTTGAGGTATGCTCCTAACTGGGCTGAAAGCAGGGAGAAACACAGCCCCTTTTGCCAAAATGTGGTGGGTTACTCTAATTTTCCCTTCCAATTTTTGCCTCCTGTTTCTGGTTTTCCTTTTCTGACAGAAGTTCTCAACCCCAGGAAGCCCTACTGCCACTTTTGCTGGCCATCCTTCCTTGTGCTGCACTTTACAGGCACAGAAGTGAGAAATATGGATGTTTGCAATCAGTGGAGCTGATGTGTCCGTCAGAGACAACCTGCCAGCTGGCAGACAGTGGAAAAAGGGGGAGTTCACACGCCACACAAGAAGTGTGGCAGACTGTCCATCTGCAGGGCAAAGATGATACTGCCTCGGTTGCACATGGTCCACAGCCTGCCTCCAAACACCAAATGTTTTTTGTTTGGATATATACACTGTGAGCACAAAATTACCGGTGCTGGTTTACTCATTTAGCAGTCCTGCCATCATGCTACCAGGACGCAACAGTTTACTGAAGTTTCAACGCTTAATATATCACAACACCCCTCCCCAAGAATCCCAAAGCCCTCAATTTAAATATAATAATTACTGAGCCCTAGTGCACAGCTCAGGAGCTGCCCCACCTCTGTAAGGTGGGGGGGGTGCAAATTCAAGAGCCTTGCAGTGCATATGGCAACAAGAGTCTTGCCACTCTCTCCAGGGAAGGTAGGGTGAGATTTATTTATGGGTGGCAGTGTGACTCCAGGTACATAGCACCTCCTCCTAATCTGGAAAGTATCTTACACCAAGCAAAGGGCACAAGAACAGATTGTAAAACCTGCACCATGTTCTAATGTGAACAAACACATCTGTTTACAGTACGAAGGACAGTCTGCCTTTCTGCCATCTAGGATCCCAGTGCTGGCTTCAGTCACTTGCTTTCCATTTCCCCCAGGTGGTCTGCTTTGAAATCATGATCATGGTTTTCTTCATTTTTTTTTCATGTGGGATGAAGTTAGATCCCTATAATGTCATCTACTATGAAGCTTCCCCCACTTTCTTTGTCGAAAAAAGACTCCCACAAACTCAGAGGGGTAGCCCTTTACATTGCACTTTCTTAGCCCAAATCCTTCTCTCAGTGACCCCATGTTCAGGTAAATGTGGGCCTGCAGTTATCAAACAGTAGAAAATTTGGTTTTCTTGTCCAGCATTCCAGTTTTTGCATTGTAAGTGTGCACTGAAGTGTGTGGTAGTGAGCGACTGCAGGTGGGGATGGAAAATACTTCCTGCATCCTAAAAGGAAAGATCATTTCAGGATTGACTCACAGGGAAGCTCTCTGCAGCATACTCTCCAAGGATGATAATTGCTTCTGCATCATGATCCAGCAGGAGAGCTTAGCACCTAAATGGTGATGTCCTTTGAGGATTAAACGGTAGACAGACCTTCTGCTGCCTTGCCGTGTAGCTGGATTTTACCCTGAGAGCTTCTTCTTGTTGTACACTCTTCAGCTTTCCAAAAACTGGAAGGTAAATTGTTTGCATGATTTGCCTTCTTTCACAGCTTTCTTTTCTCCTTCTTTTGTTTGAGGCTTCTGCTTGCTTCAATGTATGTTATACAGTGTGCTGCTCCACGTCTAGACGTCCAGACTTTTCTGTATGACTATAATGTAACTCGAATTATTTTGAATGGGAGTAAACAGAGGGATTGTGAGACAGTAGAAGAGAAAAGAAAATTTGTTACTCAAAAGTGGTTTTGGATACTAAAATATTTTGCAGCCTCTAGTTTTGATTTATAATTTATAAGCAGAGAAAGAGGATGAATCTAAAATGAACAATTTTGGTGCTTTGGTTGCCATTCCCACTGATGGGAGAGGGAGGCTTGCAGTCAGTGGCACTGGATGAAAATCCTGAAGAGAGGGAGAGGATTTGCAGCACGTTTGATGGACCTAATACTTCTGCAGGTGACTTGCCTAGAGCATTTACAGCATGTATGTGGCTTTATCCTGGAGGACATTTGACAATCTGATCAACAAAACAGCACAAAATCCTCTCACATTCCTGTGACTCTGTTTAACAGTTGCCTTTAAAATGCATGTTAAAAGCATGAATTCCATACCTGATTGGACACTGCTTACAAATAATGAAAGTCACATGATCAAATTTGGTTTAGAGGAATTGCCTCTCAAACACGTTGTGGCCTAAACTCGACTGTCTGATGTCGTTTCTCCAAGGGTTTATAATAATTGTTATTCTGTGATTTTTTGTTATACATTTAATGAATGATGGCTTTGAAAGACATCCCAAGCAGAGATGTAAATTTCTCATTATCCCAACCTATGTAACTCATGTGTGCAATATTTTATAAAATAAAGACATCTCGGAAAATGATAATGCTATTTCTCATCTCTCTGTTCTCTTCCTCCTACAGCACTGGATTTGTTTCTGAAAATGGATGCATTTAATTTTATTAAAACAGATTTATTACAGCTTTAATATCACAGTGGGTTACTGTAGGCAGTAGCCGTTATGTTAGCCTATTATGTGGCATGTTGTTTTGATGATTTAAATTGGGTGCTATAGGGATACTTTGAGAGATTATAGGCTGAATGAGACACTTTGAATGCAGAAGCTGGTCAGTTTCTGCATTCAACTCATCCTCTGGAGGAGGCTGTTTTGCAGGGTGGAATTCAATTCAGAGCAGGAGAGCGCTGGGGTCTCCACATGGTAGGTCCTGTCCTGACACTAATGATGTGAGGAGGAGAGAAAGGATGTTGTTTTTATAGCAGCATGGCTTAGAGTCCTTTGAATCCTTCCCCAATGTGAAAGATGTCTCATGTAGATGGGAAAGACATCTGTCTCCTATCCTGTTTCTGCTGGCATTTGTGCCTGGATTCTAATCCCACACCTAAGTGTGCTGGGAATTAAAGTGTGTTATAAAATCAAAAGGAAATTGAGTTTGCTGTCTGTACAACACAGCTGAAAAATCTTGTCACTAGTGTGTTTATCTAAAGAGTCATATCTCCTTTTCTGCACATGATTCTTGAACTGGGAATTTTAACCATTTTAAAATTCATTGCAAGTATTTTACAGTCAGAACTGGGGAGTAAATTCAAACTTCCTGACTACAATTAGCCAGGCAAACCATGTGAAGTACATTCTTCCTTTTTTTTTTTTTTTTTTTTTTTTTTTCTCTTGTCCAAACACACTGTAAACTATTACCTGCAAACATCTTGCTTGAACACTTTGGAAAAAAAAGTGATTTGTAAATATTGTCCTCACTGAGAAAGTGAATAATAAACTAGGAGTTATTTTTTTTGTTCTTTCAGTCAAGATGAATTGTATTAAAAGGGTTAGCTCTTACATGCCACGTTATTTCAAAATGCAAGTAGAAGCGAGACTGTCATTTCCCATCACAAACCCAAGTGATTTTTGAATCTTTAGAGAGGCATGTTCTTAGCCTGGGCTAAAAAGTATACCCTATAACAGAACTCATCATCTTCAGCAGTGTGATCATTGCCAGGCTCCCCTCCCTCCACCCCCCTCTGAGATCACCTAGACTGGGCAGCACAAGCAGATGTCCCCAGTGTCATGAGTCATCCTGAGTATTTTGGGCAGTACAGCAGTAACTTTGGCCATCCTGCATGAAGCGATGAGAGTAATGTGGCTGAGGAGAGCAGAAGTGTGTAATGGATGATTTCACTTGCCTTGGCTTTTATTTGTGTTCCTGTGAATACAGCTTTGCGTGGGGGGAGAAAGAGGTTTGTTTCAGTCAGCCCTCTGTGCAAATTTCTCTTTGTGTCTTTCAAGACCTTCACTTCACCCACCTCCATTCTGTTTAAAAACTTCTCATCTTCAGCTTTATGTAATGGCATCTTGCCTCCTTGAAGGAAACTTGAGGCCTTTGCAGAGCCTCTGACATTGTGGTGATATGGGAAATGCTGGGAGCTCTGAACTAAAGGTGAAAAGGGGCAGCTCTCTGTACTGATGCTACAGTGTCCTGTATAAAGGATAGTAACTGAGGATCTCAAAACTGCCCTTAAAGCCAGTACATACAATTTTCTTCAGTGGAGGAGGTGATAGCCCAAAGTGAAGATTGTACTTTATACGACTGACATATTTCTGTGTTAACAAAACATCTTGTAGTGTCTTGCA